CATGGGTGAAAAACGGCAGGGCAGTTGTTCCTCTGGCCTGGCTGGACCTCTCCCAGGGCACAGTCAGGCACCCTGAGCCACTTTGGGATTCAACTCTTTGCCCCCAAAGGGCTTGTGCTGGCTGTGCAGTTCACGATCTCCTTCCCAGGCTCAGTCTATCACCCATCACTGCTCTGCTAGAGGTGGGCAGCTACTGGCTGGGTGAGACAACCCCATGAAACCTGACAGTGGGTGGAAGGGGAACTGGAAGTGTGGGGTGGAGGTAGCACCTCTCCACAGGAATGAGCTGCTGGATCAGTGCAACCCATCTTTGCAGAACCATACCAATTGCTCCTGCCCCTCTGTGCCTCTTTAGCGGGTGGTGGTGGGATTTCTTCCAGTGTTTTCCAGCTGACCCAGTTCCTTCCTAAGTGCACAGGGGTGGCTGCTTGGGATGGCTTCACTTTGTCCTTGTGCGCGTGTTCCACATGGTGCTGTGTACGCACTGGTGGTCCAGGCCAGCACTGACACCACACAGACGGTTTTTAACAGCAGGCCTTCAATAATTGCACTATAAACTGCACCAATTGCTTGGCAAGAAGGGATTTGGGGTCCTTTTCTTCCCAAAGGAATGTTATTCTGAAGATCTGAACAGGAGGAAGTCCAGACTACGGCATGGTGGCATCTGGGTCCTGGATCCTCACCTGCCTCACACACTATGTGCCCTTGCTGATAACCCGACTACTTTTCCAACCCTCTCCCCCCAAATGGCTTGTGCCAGTTGGTTCAAAACGTTGCACGGATATTGAATCCATTTTTCTTTCCTTTTACAGTTAAAGCCCGGAGGACCTGCAGCCTGTGACCCGCAATGTGTAATCCCGCATCCTGCTTGCCCAGTGTCAGCCGCGCGGCACGACCCTCCCCCGGCAGTCCCGTGAGTGTCCGTAACCGTCAGGCTGCCGGTGTCTGCTTTAGGGGTTTAAACGTGCTTCCAAACTGTAGGGCGGTGACATCGACAGCGCCGGAACCCCGGGTCCCACCTCCACGGGGGTGGAGCGGTGTGATTTGGCCACTCCCGGCGGGCAGGGCGCCTTCCCCAGCGCTCATTACCATGGTGCCCTCCCGGCACCCCCTGCGTGCCCCGTGCCGCGGCCATCGGGACCCCCCGGTGGAACCCCCGCCGCCACCGGCACCGGGAGCGCGCTCTGAGGGTGGGGGACGAGCGTTAGCGCGGGGCGCGCGGGGCCGCGGCGGCGCGCTCTGACCACGGCGGCGGGGCGGCGGCGGCGGGGCCCGGGAGGGCGGAGCTGTCCGGTAGCTTTGCGCAGTGGCAGTATCGTAGCCTGTGAGGTTAATCCGAGGCGCGATTATTGCTAGTTGAAAACTTTTCCCAATACCCCGCCATGACGACTTGAAATATAGTCGGCACTGGCAATTTTTGAGGGCCTCCCCGGAGGCTGCTTACGCGTGGTTAATGACAGATGCAGCGAAAACGTGGGTAGTGGTGGGATTCCCACGGAACGGGCAGGGCTGGCCAGGGAATACCGGGAGAATGGCTCAGACTGGACAGCAGATGGCGGGTGACGGCTTGGGGCGGGCAGGGCATGCCCAGGGGAACGGTTTGGGCAGGGGATACCCGGGAAACAATTCCGGCCGAGCCGGGAATGCCGGAGGGAGGGCTCGGCATGGGCAGGGGATGCCTGGCAAACGGTTCGGGCAGGGCAGGGATGCCCGGGGGAACGGCTCGGGCAGGGCCGGTGCTGTCCAGGGAAAGGGCTTGGGCAGGGCCGGTGCTGTCCAGGGGAAGGGCTTGGGCAGGGCCGGTGATGCCCAGGGGAACGGCTTGGGCAGCGGATGCCTAGGGCCGCGGTGCGGGGTACCCCGTGGTCGCGCTGCAGCGAGGATCCCCCGCACCGCGGGAAGATGCCCCTGTGACGTACACGTACTTTGCATATCCTTCCCATCAGGCTTCGCGCCCGCCCCGATATGCACAACGGGGACCGGAGAAAACGGGGCTCTCCGCTACCGGCGGTACGGGAGTCAGCCGTGGGTGGGGACAGTACCGGGGAGTGTCCTGGGGACGCGCGGAGTGGGCGCGGGCGGACGGCGGAGCTCGCCCCGAGCTCGGAGGCGGCCCCTGAGCGAGGCGCCTCGGCGGCGGGAGTAGGGGTTCAGCTTTGCGCAGTGGCAGTATCGTAGCCAATGAGGTTAATCCGAGGCGCGATTATTGCTAATTGAAAACTTTTCCCAATACCCCGCCATGACGACTTGAAATATAGTCGGCATTGGCAATTTTTGACAGTCTCTACGGAGACTGAACCTTGTTGTAAAAAATAGAAAGCGATAGAAGGAGTAGCGGCGTCGCCCAGTATGGGGTCTTATAAGTCTTCGGTAGCTTACTGGGACAGGAGCAGCCGAAGGCTTTTTGTTCTCTTTCGCCTTTCTAGGCCTTTACTCCTTCCAAATCGCGGTTTAATAAATGAAGGGCGCGTTTGCATAAAAACCTGGGTTCTGGCCTTTTTCTTCCCAAGCTACTGAAGGAGCAATCGGGCTGTGGACATGGGACTGGGGTGCTTGCAGAAGGGTTGCTCGTGCTGAGGAGGATGCTTTCTTTTGGAAGGTAGCTTGGGCAGCAATGGGAGGTATTTCCCAAGCAAGTAAATCAGTGGGAGTGAAAGTCTGAGTAGTGCTTGACTGGCTCCAGAAGTGCTCCAAAAGATGTTGAGGATCAGCTTTCAGTGCACAGTACCACAAGCTCCATTTTGTGGGGATTTGTTAATGTGTATCACTTGCTGGAAAAAAATAGAGGCTCCTTATTAAAGAAATCCCAGACCTCTGAAACAAGCAGCTGTGGGTTTGGTGTGAAACCCTATTACATACATAAACCCCATCCGTTTCTAATTTGCAGCTGTTGTCTTTTTAATACCTAAGCAGACCCTGTGAAAGGAGGCTAATGACCAGCTCCCTGGGCTGAAGCTCCGCTGGAGCTGGAAGCAGCTGCCCTCAGTCACTGTAGGAGATAGATCGAGCTGGTGCTGCTCTGAAGCAGTTTGAATGTATGTGCTATTCAGATGCTGCTGCCCTGCTGCTGGTAAGACCCATAGCCAGGCAGCTGTTTTACACTGGAACTGGGCAGAGTAGAAAATGTAGAAATGAACATTAATGTTCCTTCTTTATCACGTTTATTTGTCATGTTCAGCTGTGCTGGGGTAGTACACACAACAGTGGCCCAGAGGTGACAGTGAAGCCTCATGGACTGCATTTCATAGGTCACAGACTGGTTTGGATTGGAAGGGAGCTTAAAGCTCATCCACTTCCAGCCTCATGCCACGGGCAGGGACACCTTCCACTAGAGCAGCTTGCTCCAAGCCCCTGTGTCCAACCTGGCCTTGAACACTGCCAGGGATGGGGCAGCCACAGCTTCTCTGGGCACCCTGTGCAAGCACCTCAGCACCCTCACAGGGAACAACTTCCTGTGATGTTAGGATCTTCCTGTGATGAGATTAATGTCTAATTTAAATCTCTCCTCTTCCAGTTAAAAGCCATTCCCCTCATCCTAGCCCTACTTACTCCTGTAGAATCTATCCCCCCATTTGTACTTCATTGCTATCAGTGCTGATAGTGAAGTGCAGCCTCTGGAGGCACCGTGACTACACAGCCTTGTACACCCCATGAGAGGGTCAGAGAGAACAGAACAGTCCCTTAAAATAATACTTTAAACTTTGCTCAGGGACTAGCACAGGGGGTGTTGGGTGAGATCCTTGGCCTTGATGGTGAAAGCCTTTGCTTATAATGGTCTTGTACTTCGAGCTAGGTAAGGCTGTCATTTTCTGAGAAGTCCTGGATTTAGAGTAAAACTTGGAATGAATTTCCCAGAGGACTGTTGATTATTCACAACTTGGCTGGGGCTAGGGAGGGGATATTTCCATGCCCCCCTAGTGATAGTTCTCATTATAGCACATGTTAACACAGGAAATAACGATGTCTGTTGGAGTGTGCTAGCTGGGGAACTGGGTGTGTTTGTGCCTAGAGAGTGAAAATTGAAGCATCAGAGGTTGCAAGCAGCTGACCTCATGTTCTCTGCCTTTATGGGAACGCGATCCCGTAATCTCAGCCCGGCAACAGGACATGTGCTTTTCAGCTCTGAGAGCATTCTCTGACTCAGTGGTCATTTTGTAAGGAAAACTGCTACGAGAGTCATGTTTCCTGCATTCTTGGCTGTTCCCACACTGATAGTTCGCAGCGTATCTCTCATCAGATTAGGAATTGAACATTTGGGCTGAGCGACTGTTTTTCCTGCCATGTCAACTTGGCTGTGGCTTGATGGCAAACACTGGCTCTGGTGAGGGTGGAGCTGCTCTGTGGTTTGGGCAAAGCTGAGGCCTTTGCTGCCTTGGAGTGGGGTTTGGTAGTGGTTGGAAAGGGAAAGCCAGTGAGAAGTGGTGGTTCAAGATGCACTATCGCATGATGAATCCAGGAAGGCTGGTACGGTTTTTACACACAGCAAAGGAGAAGTACTTGGTGGCTTTCCTTTATGGTGGTGACAACTCATGGAAAATTCTTCAGGAAGGGTTTCACCTGCCCAAGCTTCCCTGTGGATTGCGTAAATCATGGGGGGTTTGGAAACATCGATCCGTTGGGGCGCAGGGCTCCTCCGGGACAGCCGCACGCCGGCTGACACGGGCACGACCACTTCGCTGCCCTCGGGGGAGCTTTCCTGGTGGAGGCTCCTGCTGCTCCAACTAAGACGATAGTGCTCCCGCCCGGGCACCGGCAGGCTCGGGGCAGAGTGGCTGCTGGCGGCAGCGCAGGCTTTGCCGCGGGGCCGGGGCGAGGGCAGGAGCCGCGGACAGGCCCGGGGGCGGCCCCGGCCTTTCCTCGGGTACTCTCCCACCGCCGGGGCTGCGCTCCGGCCCTCGGCAGCGCTGCCGGCCCCGCCCGGGACCGCGGGACCGCGTCCCCCCGCCCGGGGCCGGGCTGTCGGGCCCCGCTGCGGCCGACAGGGGGCAGCGCCGGGCGGGCGCGACGCGGCGGGCGCGAGCTCGGGCCGCGGGAGCGCGCGGGGGCGGTCCGGCAAAGTTGCGAGGCGCTGAGGCGGCGGCAGCGGCACCGGGACCGGCGGCACCATGGACGACTTGGGTGAGCTCCGAGCCGTGCGTACCCCCCGCGGCGGGCAGCGTCCCGGGCAGACCCCGCGGCCCGCCCGGCCACGCTGCGCCCCTCAGCGCCGCCGTCCGCTCCGCGCCCTGGGGCTCGGGCCGGGCCTGCCGGCGCCCGGGGACGTGTCCGCTCCCCGCCGAGCGCGCAGGGCCTCCCGGGTCGCCGCGCCGCAGTCCGTCCCCAGGGCCCTCGCCCGGGCTGCCTCGGGGCCACCGCCCCAGCCTGCGGTCCGAGCCGTCGGTGTTTGTCCCGGCCGTGCCCCGCGCCCTTCGGTCCCGGACCGCGGGGGCAGCGTGGAGCGTGGCCGAGTTTCAGGGGACGCCTCCTACCCTGCCGCTGCCGCAGCCTCTCCAGGCTGTGCCTGGGTGAGACCGGTAACGTCGCGTGGGTACGGAGCGATCCCAGGCAGCCCTCGGGGCGAGCAGCGCCCAGCCCCTGCCCAGCGAGCCGCCGGGCTCAGCGCACATCCTCCTGTCTGCTTCGCCCAGGTGTGCTGAAGCCTGCCAGAACCGTGTAGCGGGGAGGTGTCAGGCAGCTGGGCTCACTGGAAAGATCTAGAGAGTTTGAGTTCCTTTGGTACCGAGCCGGAAAGAGGGTGGATCTGCCAAAATCCCTTGTGCTCTGGGAGACATTAGGGTGGCTGAGTTCCGCTTATGAAACTGATTAAATCAGACACTGGGGAGGGGCCGTGATCCGTTACTTCCATCCTACCTTTAATAGAAACCAGGCGTTCTGTTAAGATATGCTCCAGGCAAATCGCAGTTTTCTCATTGGAACTGGAAGCTCATTGAGGCGCTGGCAAGTTGGTGGTCACACCTTCAGAAAACAGACTTTGAATTGGGCTAATGATAAAATGTACAGGGCAAGGAGTCCATCAGCTACATGGCTTTCTGCTGAGAGGTGCACCGTTCCGAGGGAGCCACACCTCACCCTTTGGCTGGCTGGGTGAAGTAGCTGGTGGTGCAAACAGGATGAACTTCTACTGCAGTTTCTTCTCGCAGTTGTTGTTTCTTTAAGCGGAGGCAGTTCTGTTTACTGCTTCTTATATCCCTGGTTGTCTCTGGGAGATTGGGTGGAAGTTTCTAGCCTGTTCAGGAATGTGTTCTTGTCAGAACAGGATTCCCCCAGCCTGTGTATTGACTTGCTGAGTGGCCCTTCAAGGTGAGCATACAGACAGCATTGTGTAGAGCCAGCTTAGCGTCTCATCTGTAACAACCATGGGAGCTGTGCTGTGCCCACTGTGATCGTTGCATTCCAACTTCCCAGTTGTTCAGTCAAGCAGCCACAGTTTCAACACATTTGTCCTTTCCTCTGTAGGAAGCTTAGAGTTGAGCTGCAAAGAAATTATGAAAAAGACCTAAGTTTGTGTCTGGTTTATTCTTCTGGGCAGTTGAATGTATTGGCAGCACTAAAAGTTGAGGTTGTGATCTGAGTTTTTGTCTCGGCAACTTGATTTCATCAAGTCTCAATTACACCAGGCCTTTCTCAATCTTTGTACAGTCTGTCAGACTTTCAGTCATGATCTGATTATCTCATAGAAAGCAAAAATAAAGGAGTGGGACTCTGACTCTCTCTAAGCTTTTCTTTGGTTTACAGAACCCATGGAGGCACACTGGCTATTTTCCCTCTACAAATCATTGTTAGCCCCCAAATTGCTCACTTATTTTTCTAAAGCCATTCACCATGGGATGCATACACAGGAGAACAATGCTGTGCTGATACAGCTCCCCTGAAACAAGTCAAACCGAAGTGAGAGTTTGTTTTTCTTTCCTCATTATCTATGGGTGGATTATCCGAGTTGTGGATTAACTGTGCCATGGATACAGACGTCTGCGCTAGCTGTGTCCAGAGTCAGGCTGGTCGGGCAGGACTTGTTGGTTCAGGCACAATGCCATGTGGACATAGCTGCACTGCTTCTAGGGCCAGTTTTGCCCCCAAAGTGGTTTAGTGTTGAGCCTGAGCTAATAGGCCTTGCAGGTTAAGAGCTGATGTCAAGTAGAATCAGGTTGGATGTTTCCCCATGGTGCTTCTGAATCTGTGTGGTGCAGAAATGGCTAGTGATTGATGGATCTTGCTGGGCGTGAGGGGACACCTCACATAGCCTGTTGGTGTGTCCGTCCTCCCTCTGTTTATCGACAGTCTCCTCCTCTTCGATGCAGTTGGTCAGTGTGTACTTGTGCACTCTGAACTGGAGGTCCAGAATTATCTCAATTTCATGCTGCTTGTGCTGGAGAGGGTATGAAATACATGTGCAAATGGATTTGTGTTGCTTTGGGGATTCCTTTGGAGTTGAAAAATGCCCCTTTGTTCCTTCTCTTTCCCCTCAGTGTTGAAGAAGTGGTGTTACACCACACAGGAAACTGTTGGAGAGCTCTGCAGGCGGTGCTTGTGCACCCCATTGAGCTGGGGGAGCCTCCGTGGCACAGGACATGCAGTGCTGGGTCCATGTATAAACCAGAATAGCACGTTGTGGAAAGGGGGAGGAGATGGTGGGTTGAGCAGCTGACCAGGCTTGTCCAGATTGTCTTCCTCCAACCTCTAAGGAAGCATGTTGTGCGGATGTGCTGGAGTTTGACAGGAAGCTTTGCTCAGTGAGCTTGCTGGTCTGCACTGTTGTAAATTGGCACAGAGGGTAAAACTGTGCTCTAAGGACTGAAAATCCTAACTCGGGGTGTTCCCCCTTTCAGTGTGTTGTTACGTGCTGTGATTCCAGGACACGAGTGACCAACAGCACCTATTTGCTTCAGACAATTTGAGATACTGAGTTAAATGTTGACTTATTCTTGATTCTGTGGTGCTACCTAAGTAGTAAGTGTGACCAGACCCATTAGGACCTGCTGGTTGAGGAGGAAGAAACCCAATTCATGTAGTGTGTCATGTATTTTGTGGTAAGGGGAATAGGAGAAAGGAAACTGTACATTTGCTTTAGTTGGATACTCTTTGATTTTGACTTTGGGTGTGTTTTTACAGCATTTTTCTGAAAGGGATTGTTTGCAAACCCACCAAACAGAAATGCTGTTGCTTTTAGAAGCTTTCTTTTGATGGCTTTGAAATTCTCACTTCTCTACTGCTTGTTTTTTTAATATATAAAATTAATTTATTTAAAAGGCTTCAGATTTTTTTTTTTTCAACAGGATTTTGCAATCAAACACAAACACTGAGCTTGGAAAAGATGCTTTACAAAGAAGTTATTTCTGTTTAATGAGAATGTATTTATGGCAGTGTTTTGGCTGGGTGTGTAAACTAGACTGTGAGCTGCTGATTTTAGATGTGCTTGCTCACTTCTAGAAGGACTTTGCTAACCAAACCTACTGCAGCAATGTGGCTTCAATAGTCTGGGTGCAAAGGTTCAGTAGCACAAGAGGTTTTACTTTAGAAGTTGTTTCCCTCTGGTTTAGGAACTATAACCCACCCTCTCTTCAGGGTTTAATCCTCTCAAGGTTTAAAGGAAGCAGTCTTGCATTGATTTTTCATGGCACTGTGGAGGGGGTGCATGTGTTTCCATCTGTCATCTCTCCTAACATTTGGAAGACTGCTGCGCTCTGCAGGGCTATGCTGTCTGTCCTTGTGAGGAGGATGCTTGCCTGTTTCTGACTTGGTTCCTTCACTTTGGCAGTCCTGTGCAGTGGGTTTTGGTCTTGTTTGTCTGAAAGTTTAGTGTGAAATTGCTCATGGTCACCTACACCCAGGAAATGGTACTGGGGAAAACACTGGTAAAGTAATCTGGTCCCTTGGCTTTCTCCTCGCTCAGGTTTCTGAGTCATTCCTGCTGCTGGGCGAGAGGACTGCAAACAGAACTAATACTCTGCACAATGGGGTTCTGACTTGTTTCAGCTTCTTTGCTGTTGTGACCCCTCATAAAACAGGGACTTCATTGTCCAGAGGAGCTCAGACAGGGAGTCCTCTGCCTGGAGCAGTGTGTGATGCAGAGAGAGGCTGCTTTTCTTGTTGCTCTATTACCATGGAAAGGCTGGACTCTGTGCTGTCTTTAGCTCCTTTGTCCCTCGCTGGGAGAGGTCAACTTATCCCAAGTGTTCAGCTGCCCTCCTCATTAAAATTGATCCTCCGACATCATCTCTACCACTAGAGAAAGAAATAGGTAACCTCTCATACATCATCTTTAACTCTGTCTCTCTACCTGTTCTTTCCCAGGGAATCATGATACTTCAGTTTCTCCAGACTCTATTTTCCCTCATCTCTTTCCCCTTGAAGTGGATTTATTATATGGAACAGGTTGTGAAACTGCAGGAATGACGGATAAAATTCTGACCTCTGGCAGCAGAACAAGCAGTAACAGTGCACTTCTGGTTAGATCAGAGTTGTTCTGCTGATCTACTGCTAAGACAGATGTATATAAATTCCTTAGATCTGTGCAGCTAGAGTGGAGAGAAAGCCCGTCCATGGTCACAAACCAAATCTGTTTGAATCGGACTAATGTGTTAGTTGTGGTATGCAGGATCTGCTGCAGCTTCAGAGATAGCCAGAACAGATTCCGAATTCAGCTGTGCCGTGCTAGTGGAAAATCAGTGTGAGTGAATAGGATCTCTGCTCCCAGTTTCCTGCTCTGCTCAGGCTGTGCCTCACGCCCTTTGTGTACTGATCTTGTGTGTCCCTTTTTTGTCTGAGGCGGAAGCTGTTAATGAAGATGCTGTTCTACTCCAGCTGCTCAAAGTGAGATACTGTCTGCGGGAAGCTTCTCTGGGCTACGATAACAAGATAGGGTTTGGGGAATGAGTTTCTTGCTCACTTCAGCCTGTCCTAACTAACTTAGGTTTAATAACAAGCCCTGGAAGTACAGGTTGTTATGAGTGCTGAGCTATAATATTTTAAAATACTTCAGAGGGAGCTGAGGAGACCTTTGGGTCCTGTTCTTGTTTCAGCGTTTGTAAAATCTCGCCTCGCATCTCGTCCAGTTTCAGATGGCAGCCAAAAATGGTGATTCCCAGCTTCCCCCATTTCTTGTGTGCTTGCTGCTTATT